AAATATAATAAATATTACAAAAATATTAACTATTATTACACAAAATAATTATTATCTGACAAAATAAAACACATGCAGAAATAATTACGTTATTGATGCAAATCTTACTTAAAATAATAATGAACTCTAATTAAATATAAATCTGCATCAAAAAAATTCTAATCTCCGTATATATATTACTCTTTTATATTATTATTATATTAAATATAATTTTAAATAATATATATAAATAATTTATTAAAATTAATTAAAAATTTTATTAAAAAAAAAAACTTTAAGAACGTTCATTTATAATAACCCTGATAAAAATGTAGCAATAAAATTTCACACACAGCAACGAATTCATACACAGCAACAAATTCACACACAGCAACGGATTCATACACAGCAACGAATTCACACACAGCAACGAATTCACACACAACAACGAATTTACACATAGCAGTGAATTCACACACAGCAACAAATTCACACATAGCAACAAATTTACACACAGCAACAAATTCACACACAGCAACAAATTTACACACAGCAACGAATTTACACACAGCAATGAATTCACCTATGACTTCAAGAATGACTCCAACAAAATAAGTAAAAAAAAAAGCAACAAAGTTTACCCATTGAAACAAAGCTGCTTGCTCCATGGCAGCAAAATTCCATTATCGGACTCCAAGCTAACAAAATCATGACAGTTCCAAGAATGACTCCAGCAACGAAATAAGTATATAAAAAAAAAAAAAAAGTGTTAGCTAATCAGAAAGAAAAAAGAAACAAAAAAAAGAACAAAAAAAAAACATGACAAAGCTTACCTTATGGCAACAAAGAACAATCCATTCACATCACACAGACTCCAAAAATTGTACTGACTATGACGACCTCAAAGATGACAGCTCTAAGGTCAACTCCAATGAAGACTTCAGCAAAAACTTCAATAATGAAATAAATTAAAAAAAAGAAAAAAAAATTGTTAGTTAAGAAAAAAAAAAACCCTCCAAGATTCAGAAAAGACAATACCCACCCTGCTAGGTCTATTTTATAATTAATATGAAAAGCAATGATGCCAAAATCTATAACCAGAAAAGATAGTACTCATCTAAAGGCCCATACATCTGAAACCAATAACACCAGAAACCTGTTAAAGAGAGAAAATTAGTAAGAAGCAACAAAACTACTGAAAGAGAAAAAAAAGTCAAAAAACCGGAAAAGACAATATATCTAAAAAGCCTATTCATCCTAACCTTATAGGCAGAAGTTTGTCTGATTGGCTAATAAATTCAATTTAATTTTACATTATTTATATAATTTAGAGTACTTTTTAAAAAAATGCAAACCAACCATAATAAAGTAAAAAAAAAAATGATATAGAAGGTTTCATTAGAACTGTAGAACACTATATTCAAAAATAAGATCTAATTATCATCTATTTAAAAAAATTAGCTTAGTAATAAGATGATTTTATTGGGTCATTATTATACTAACTAGTTTAAACAGATAAGAATTAGATCTTATTTTTGACTATAGAGTCCTACAGTTTTAATGAAACCTTCTATACAGCCTTTTTTATATTATCATAATTAGTTTTTGTCTTTTTTAAAAAGTATTCTAAACTGTATAGAATGTAAAATTGAATTTATTAGCCAATCAGACAAGCTTCTGTCTATGAGTCCCAACTACGAACCGAAAATGATGATGCCGAAAGCCTGTCAAAGAGAGAATAAGCAATGAAACTAAGAATAATGCCTATATGAAAGATCCAATACTTCCAACCATGCACCGAAAATGATGCAGAAACCTATCAAAAAAGCCAGTATAAGTTAATAAATGCCAAGATTATATAAGGATGAAAGATAAAAAAAAAATTATCCAAACAAAAAAACAATACCCATCCAAAAGGTCCATTTGCTCATGCTTTTGAAATTACTAATTCACCCACTTCAATTAAATAGCAACAAGTTCACACTATGAAAACTCTGAAAATGATGATGGCGATCGATTCTAGCAAACAGCATGTAGAAGAAAAAAAGAAATATTGGTTAAAAAAAAAAATTCCACCTAAATGGCTTTTACAAAGATGACACCTCTGCAACAATGACAGCAACAAAGAGTTTACTCCATGGTGATTCCAAAATGATGACACTAACGATGCAAAGATGCCAAGAAAAAATGGAGGTTAAAAAAGAAAAAAAAGTTTATATAACTTACTAATACCTAATTAACTTATTCACTTACCTAAATTTGCTCTTATAAGTAAAGTTTTTAATGATACTGATCTATACTGATCTTTTTTTACAGAAGAAATACGAAGAGTTAAAGAACATTATAATATGTATTAAAAAAAAATTTATTATATAAAATTATGAGTTGCCAATTGACAATGTGGTTTTTTATAGTAAGGGTTACTCTAAAAATTTTTTTTATGTTGTGTAACTCAGTAATCTTCAAGCCAATCAAATCAAATGTCTGTTATGCTGTATATATATATATTGTAATTAGAAAATATAGCCTAAAAAAACATGTTATAAAGCTATAACTTAGAACTTAAATCACATTAATTGACTAAAACAAAGATATTTAATAATGCTAATTTAGGTTTAGTTTAAGATAAAGCTTTATTAAAAACAATAGTAGAATGCTTCTGATATTTAAGTAGTGAAAACTATAATTATATAATTTAGTATAGATTACTTATTGATAACTAAAAATTTTTATCAACAAGAACTCTTCTTTGCACCAATTTTTTCACATATACTGACCTACAAAAATTATATAGTTAGCATGTTTATATATAACAAAACTTCGCCGTATAGTGTCTGGGTTCAAGAGTTTCAGATTGCATATGGGCCATATGAAAAAGAGTTGAAAAAGACAGCTCCTTGTGGGTTTGGC